CTGAAGATACAAAATTCCATCATTTGCGGGTAAATGAATGGAACTAAAGAATATCATGCTAAGCAAAATAAGCCAACCCCAAAAACTCAAAGGCCAAAGGTTTTCTCTCATATGCAGATGCTAATGCACATTAAGGGTGGGGCACTGGGGAAGAATAGACTTACCTTACATTAGGTAGAGGAGAGTGAAGGGAGGGGAGAGGGAAGTGAGGATAGTAGAAAGGATCCGGCATTATTACCTTATGTACATACATGACTACACAACCAGTGTGATTCTACATCATGTCCAACCTGAAGAATGGGAAATTATAAACCGCTTATGTATGATGGGTCAAAAGTGCATTCTACTATCTCATATAACAAATTAGAACACAATAAATAAATAAATAACATCTTTAAAAGCTAATAATTACTGATATCATCAAAGCATACTTCTAAAGCAGTCTCCGCTACTTAAGTCTTGGCAAAACAGTAGGCATAAACTAATAACAGCAAAAGAAATTTTGAAAACAAAACAGGTGGAAATAGTTAAAACTCCCCAAAACACGTAGAAGCTTAATACTGAAGGGTCTGGCAAGCTGAACTCCTGGGCTTTACACGACACACACGCTGTTCTCCTCCTCTAGCAAATGCACACCCATCTTATCACAACTGGTAACCTGAATGGACAAGGTTCCAGGAGACAGAATGAGAAGAAACAGTCCGTCATCACCCCTGGGAGCCACAGAGCTCACCTGTTGTGACAGTTTTGGACGTGGGACTTCCCCACGTCTCATTGGCTATTCCTGGAGTGATGGAGAATTCATAGGAAGTTCCTGGACTTAAGCCTGTGATGGTACACTCTGTTTTATTTGTTACAATCATCCTCCAGGCGTTGTCCCTCTCATTCTTTACTGCATACGTGTACTCAGAAGCATCTCTGTCATTGTTTTTCCAGGTCAGGACCACGCTGGTTGGACTGATGGAAACAGCATCAATGCCAAACACAGGACTGGGTGCTGTTTATAGGTTGTTTTCAAGGACAAAGAAAAAAGAATACGTTCGAAAAATACATGTAAGTGTCAGGTCTGCTGTGTCTGCTGTTCAAAAGCAAATCTTACAATGTCATTTTCATTTCTCTTCATTTGCCCCTTACACTTTCCGGCAACAAAAGGCATTTAAACACACATATGCACCTGTATGAGCATGTGTCCGTCAAACAGAGCCTATTAAATGAGGCAAAACTCATAGAGGTTGGCCTTGTTGTCTGTGACTTGAACTCACGGTTATCTATGTCTCGAAGCGGATACAAAAAGAGCTGTAAGAGGCAAAGGAGTCTCTCTCCCAATTCTCAGGACACTCTGCATTTAGAGAGATTGTATAGGATGCACAAGCATGTGGTAACCATTTTGCCAAACCTTCCCATCACAAGAAAGCTCTCACGTACGAGTAGCTCTTGGAATCCCAATCTGAACTTAAAGACCTGCTCCACTTGTTAGCAGTGTCACCTGCAATCTGTCCCTTGAAACACTCACTCTCTGGTTCCCCTGTTGACAGGTCTAACACACCATCAAATGATAATGATTACTACTGGCCACCATAACATGAGGAGCAAGACACCAGACTTGGACATTTAGAACTCTGATCTAAGACGCCCTCCTGCTAGTCACTAGCCTTCTAATTTGCTCAACGTCATCTCATCTACCCAACATTACTTTCACCGTCTATAAAATTGCAGATGTACAGAATCATAAATTAACAAAACCTGTCATGGTTATTAACATTAAGGAGTAACAACCATAAACCGAGTAAAATACAGATGATGTGGCCTTTATTCTCAAGGAGCTTCTAACTGACCCCAAATGAGCAGAGACTTTCCAAGTGACACCATCTTGGCATGAGCATGGAGAAGTCACGTCATCTGGCTATAGGAGGTGAGAATATTTATCCAATCAGTGAATAAGGGCAGGTGAGGTGATAAAGAGAAGAAAAAAATGGAACGAGCAGGAATTATCTCAGGGACCACGATTCAAAAAGTTTCATGACATGAAGTTTCCTCTTTCTAAAGCAACACATGCCAGTGTCAGAGAAGCCGTTTTGGCAGATGACCACTGGGGTGCTGCCCTTTACAATCAGATGATGATGGTGACGAGGATCATGATAAAACAAGAACAGCTGCAGGGGCAGAGGGAGCAAGAACAGCAGCACCCTCTTTGGGGACCAGTCGTCTCCCCCACACTGTGCTAGGGCACCATTTTCATGGAGAAAGAAATTTCCTTCACTCATAAAGGGGAATCTGGTAAGGTTTGCGAAACAGATTCATAAGTTTCAATAGTTCAGAAAAGAAAGAAATGGGTTTCTTGTTTGTTTGTTTCAAACTCTCTTTCCTACATTTGCTATCATACTTCAGCCGGTTCATGTGAGATATCAGGGTAACTGACTGGCAGACACCACTTCACCATCCTTGCCTCGATGGAATGAATCCCACTTCATCACAGTTGAATGGTCTTTTAACTCTACTCTTGAATCCAGCTTTCAGCATTCGGTTAAGGTTTTCTGCACCTGGGTTCCCTAGGAATCCTGGCTCGAAGGCTTCTTGTTGCTGTTGCTGTCCTTGTCTGGTTTCTGTATCAGATTGAATGCTGTCCTCGTAAAAACACTTTTGAAAATATTCTCTCCTCTTTGATTGTTTTGGGAAAAAAAATTCAGATAAATTGATATTATTTCTTTTTTGAATAATTAATAGAATTCCACATTGAAGCCATCAGGTCCTGGGCCTTTCTTTGAATGGGAAATGTTTTGTCACTGATTCAGTTTCCTTATTCACTGGTGATCTGTTTAGATTTTCTCTCTTCACACTTCAATCTTGGTTGATTTTTTTTTGTCAAGGAATTTACACATAGCCTCTGCTTTATCCAACCTATTGGCACATAATGGTTCATCATGTCTCTTATTATGTTTTGCATGTCTGTAGTGTCAGTTGTAATGTCTCCTTCATTTCTGATATTTAGTGAGTTCACAGTCTTTTTTTTTTTACTGTAGCTAAAAATTTGTCAATTTTGTCTTCTCAAAAAACAAACTCTTCCTTTTGTTGATTATTTAATTATATTTTTAGTTTGTTTCTTTTTTCTTTCTTTCTCTGGTCTTTATTATTTCCTTTCTTCTACTAATTCTGGGCTCAGTATTTCTTAATTTTCTTGTTCCTTAGGTGCAACACTTGTTAAGATCTTTCTTCATTTTGATATAGCTATTTGATGCATAAACCTTCCTCGTAGAACTCTTCTTGCCATATCCCATAGGTTTGGGCATGTGATATTTCCACTGTCATTTTCCTCAGTAATTTTTTAATTTCCCTTTTAATATTTTTATTGAACCTCTGAATGTACAAGAGAATGTTTTGTTTCCATACACTTCCAAAGTTCTTTTTTTTTGTAGTTCTACATAGACAGAATGCCTTTATTTTATTTATGTTTTATGTGATACTGAGGATCAAACTCAGTGCCTCATACATGCTAGGCAAGCGCTCTGCCACTGAGCTATAGCCCCACACCATAGTTTCCAAAATTCTTGTTACTAATGTCTACTTTTATATTGTGATGGTTAGAAACGATGCCTGAGATCATTTCAGTATTCTTATATTCTTAAGACTTCTTTAGTAACCTCCCATATGATCTATGCCAGATAATGTCCCATATGCAACTCACAAAAATGTATATTCTGCAGCTACTAGAGGGAACGTTCTATACACATCTGTTAGGTCAACTTGGTCTCAAGTACAGTTTTTTTTTTTTGTAAACTTTGGCACTTTTAACCTATCATTCCACTTGTTCATGGACTGTAAAGTTTCTGCTGAGAAATCTGTTCCTGGTCATATTATAACTACATGATTTATTATTCGCTTCTTTTCTTTTAACATTTCAAGATCCTGTCTTTACCTTTTATATTTGATGGATTAATTATGTGTAAGGGTAGCTTTATTATGATTTGATATGAATGGAGATTTTTCTTCTTATACCTTGATATTTATATCTTTTTCCAGGTTTGGAAAGTTTTATGCTATCATTTATTTAAATAATTTTTATTTTTTTAATATTTTTTAGTTGTCAATGGACCTTTATTTTTAATTTATTTATTTATATGTGGTGATCAGAATTGAACCCTGTGCCTCACACAAGCCATGCAAGCACTCTATCACTGAGCCACAATCCCAGCCCATACTCTTTGTATTCATCTTCTCCCTCATGAATGCCAATGACTTGAACACTTGCTCTTTGGGTGCTATCCCATAAATCCCAAAAGCATTCTTCATAACTTTTCTTTCTCCTCCCACTGTATATTTTCACAATATACAAGTTCCTAGATTCTTTCTTCAGCTTTATCAGCTCTGCTGATGGTGCTCTCTATGGCACTAGTCCTTTCAGTCACTGTATTTTTCAGCTCCAGGATTTCTGTTTGATTTTGTCTGTACTACTTCAACCTCTCTGTTACAGTTCCCATTTCTGGTCACTTATTAGTATACTCACTTCTTTGAATTCCATCTCTGTCGTCTTCTGAAGTTCACTGGGCTTCCCTAGAGGAATTATTTTGAATTCCTCAGAATTCAAACATACATCTCTATCTCTTTTTATCCAGTTAATAGCACTTGTTATTGTATCTCTGGTGATATCATGGCCTTTCTCATTATTCTTAGTCCTTGTGACTAGACATTAATGTCTATGCATTTGAAAGACAGGGATAATTCTAGTCTTTGTAGACTGGTTTTTGTCTGCAAGGACCATCTGCTATGTTCCCAAAAACCAGCGCCACTGTAGCCACTGAAGCACTTGAGGGTGTCCCTGAACTGAGACCAATTTTTAAAACACCACTGATGAACATAATCTCTCTAGGAACTCCTAAAATTTCCCTATCTTGACCTAGGAACAATTCAGTAGTTTGTTTAAACTGTTTTCGTAGTATAATTTTATCAATACCTTATAGCCTTATTGAACTAACAAAATTATTGCATCACAATGCTATTTATGGAAAAAGTATGAAAATAATCTACCTATTCAACATTATTAGATAACTAGTTATACAACTTAGAAAACCTGCAGACCAGCAATTCTTACACTTTTTTGGATTAAGGACCTATATACCTTTTTTAAAATTAAGGATCTCAGAGAATTTCTGCTTACATAGGTTATATTTATTCATACTATAGTACAAATAAATAGGAAATTTTTTAAACATAAAAATACAGAAGCAGGATCTGGGCTCGTGGCTCAGCTGTAGAGCACTTGCCTTGCACATGTGAAGCACTGGGTTCAATCACCAGCACCACATAAAAATAAATAAAATAAAGGTATTGTGTCCATCTACTATTTTAAAAAATTTTTAAAAAATATATACAAGCATACATTCTATTCGCCATCGGAATGACAATGTCTTCCCATTCCTTACAACATCTGGGAAACTCCATTGTGTTCTCAATAAAGAATGAAGGGCAGGAAAGCCAAATAACATGTTAGTATTATAATACTTCATGAAGCCCTGAAAAAAAAGGGGGAACCCTAGATTCCTTTGAACCATTATGTTAAGAGCCAATGATCTACCCCAGAAGTCAGAAAGCTTCTTCTATGAATGCCAGAGTGCCACTCCCATCCATTACGTGTGGTGATGCACAATACCACACAGACACAAAATGCCTTTATATGAGCTTCAGGACGGCTTCCCCATCTCTGGCCTCAGGCTCCCCAAAGTGGTGTAAGAGAAGGCCACAGGAGACTGACAGGAGTGAGATCACGTTTGGAAGTGGGCTTTTATTGGGGGGAATGCTGTTTCTTAGAACATTCTATCCAAAAAAGGCAGAAGGGGTAGGATTACAAAGGAACAGGTGAGTGTAACTCAACCCCAGCAAGTGACACCTACACCTGGAGCCACACCTTGTCATCCGAGCTGGGGTAAGCCCAAGTTACTGCAGAAGGAAAGCAATAATTGTTCAGGACCCCAGGGCATCAGGACTTAAAGGCGTGTTCATCCAGGGTGGCTCCCCGCACCAGAGAACAAATACTTCAGGCTTTCCATCCCATAAATTCCCTGTTATGCCTCCTCAATTCTAACAGGAAAGCAGACACAGAGAGTACAGAAACAAATTAGCAGGACTGTGTCCCAGTAAAACATACATATAAAACATACAAAAACGCAAAGTGGACCTGTTTTGGACCATGGGTCATTATCATTTACCAACTATGATTCCGACAACAGACCGGCAGGAAGGTGTTAAAAGTATGCTATATTCAGGCACCTTGGCCCACTCCTGTAATCCCAGTGGCTTGGGAGGCTGAGGCACGAGGATTGCAAGTTCAAAACCAGCCTCAGCAAAAGCAAGGCCCTAAATAATCATTGAGACCATGTCTCTAAATAAAATATAAATAGGGCTAGGGTGGTGGCTCAGTGGTTGCATGCCCCTGAGTTCAATCCCCAGCAACCGCCCCCCCAAAAAAAAGTATGCTGTAAAAATATTTATATTGAAGAATAATATTCATAATAAACTGACTAGCAGAAAAAAAATATATACACATGTCTTAAAATTATAAAATAACATCATAATTCATCAGTGATTGTTTCTGATTGATGGTTCATACGATATCTTTTTGCTGAGATGCATTTTATATTATGAATACGCACTTTCATAAAGAGAAATTTCAAGTCTTTTAGATGATTAAAAGAAAATATTTAGAAAATATGATATATACAGATCTTACAAGTTTCCTTTAAGAAGCATCACTGACGAAAAGTACCACCCACTTGCTTACCAGTTCTACTGTCAACTGTTTTGGATGTCCCTTCAGTCCCATTCGGATAACTGGTTCCAGGGGACAAGTTACCAATGGTAATACTTTGGCTGGTGGTGTCCTCACTCTTAAATTCTCCAGTATTTTCCTGCCCAGTAGGAATCCTAGAGGACTGTGAGTCATTGCTGCTCAAGGGTAAGCCAGTTGTGGAAACTGAACCAGGGGCTGTGGGAAAACAGAGAATGATTAGATGAAGAATCTGCACCTCGAAAACAAGGGTGAGAAACTCTCACAAAATAACGACACTGAGATGGAAAAGTTCACTAGGACATCTGAGCTCTCGTCAGCTGCTCTCTGGCCCATCAGCTACAGCACCAATCCACAGACACTCATGTTTCTCACCATGGAGCAGGCACTTGGCCACACGGGGGCAGATGCTGTGTGCTTACACTGTACAAAGCCATTCCCAGGAAACTAGAGCCACTAGGTTCCATCAGTTGCCCCCAGAAACACTCTGGGGTAGACCCCTGGCCGCTGCTGCCTGCCTTATGATGACTGTGTTACTAAGCCTCCCAGGACCTCTGTTGACAGAGTTGCAGTAGAGCCTGCTGTTGACCCGCAAAATACATCCCCCCTGCTTCCTTTGTCACATACCCCTAGATTTTCCAAAGGTTATCCTAGTATATGGCTTTTTTTTTTTTTTAACATAGCAAGGTAGCACCAAAAGAAAATACCTATGGAATAACAGCACATAAAACATAAAAATACTATGTTATAATTTCTAATAAGTTAAATCACCCCTCGGTATTGGGGGGAAAAAAAAGTCACACAGTATACATTTTTCTTAAAAGACAGGGTTTCACTATGTTGCCCAACCTAGTCTTAAACCTCTCAGCTCAAGTAATCCTCCTGTCCCAGCCTCCCAAGTGGCTGGGACTAGAGGTACACAGCATCCAACTTAGAAAATATAAATTTTTATATTTTATACAATATAATTTTTTTATAAATAATCAGGACTGCAGGATTATTTGAAATTTTTTTCCTTTTATTTGCTGATTCCATCCTCACCCCACTTCTTCTAAAGAAAATTTGGAAAGTTACAGGGCTTTAACAAATTATCCTAAAACAAAACTAGATATAATAGTTAAGTTTGTTTTGTTTTAATATCAGGGATTGAACCTAAGGGTATTTAAAATTCTGTGATTTTTCACAGTTGCCGTTAATGTTGCTCTGTGTTCACTAGGGGGCAGTAGCGAACAATACAAGAACAGAGGAAAATGGTACTCACCATCACCTGCGCACACAATCTGTAACAGAAAAAAAAAAAAACAGAAGTCAGCAGATTCATTCAGACATGGAAAATGCAAATCAGAAATAGAGCAGTTGAGGATTTAATAATGGGGGGTGGAGTGGTACGTGCATTAAGCTAAGGCTTGCTGGCCAGGGCTCAGGTGTCTTGGGACATTAAATATAGGGACTCAGAGAAATCAATGGTTAACTACAAAGATTAACTGGGCAGCTGTTGGCTACGCAGTGTTTTTCCCACGGACAGCACTGGAGCAGCTCCCAGGCCAGCACCTCTCTCCTGCCCTTTTTTGATGAACTGGGGCTGTCAGGACCAGACTGGTGCACCCCTTCCCCAGAATGATTTCCAGGTCACAAGTGCAACATGCAAAGCCAGATGTAGCAGGAGAAATCCACTGGGTTGGGGGTTTTCATTGTACAAAAATTCATCTTCTATCAGTAGGTGGCAGTAACATATTTTTTTTTAATCATAGGACGACCAGCTTTGGGTGGAATGAATCCGCCATCTCCAGATCCTCAGCAGGTTGGAGGGGGGTCCTCAAGGATATTCGTTGTGATCCATAAATTATTTCTCTGTCCTTTTAAAGCCTAAAATAATTCAAGGCGGTATGTCCCATTGTTTCATAAACATATCTTTTTGGTGAGCTGGATTGTTCAAAGGATGATGCTCAGGAAGAAGAAAATAATCAAAAGTAGTGGGGAGTGGTGGGAGTCCACTAACTTCCCACCACACTGAGAATAAAATTCCACCCTTCAATCACAGCCCGCCCAGCCCCTCTGGTCTCAGTGCCCCTCACGTTGTTGAAGCTGGTTTCCCCCTTAGGTATTTATCCCTCCTGAAGCTTTCTGCCCCAGACCTTCCTTCTCATGGCATGGCCAAAACTGTCCCCTCTTCACCAAGTTCTCCCAGTCAGCCATGGAAATCAATGCCCCTTATCCCCCGCATATCCCATCTCCCCCAAATACAATGCATGCCTCATGAGAGCAAAGACTATGTTGCACACAGTAGGCCCTCAGTGAATGCCACTGAAAAGAAAGAATGAGCCCAACAGGCAGGGAAGCCTGCCGCAATGTTCCCCCATTCTCAAACTTCCCACCCCCACCCCTCCACGTCAGCCAGTAAGCCCTCAATGCAACGCTCACCTCGGGCCCCGCCCCGCCCTTCAGTCCAGGCAACACACCAGTCCACATGGTCTGAGACGGGCAGGGAGTCAGTGGCCAGGCAGGCAGCACAGGGCGGTAAACGAATTCTGCCCAGGAGTTCGAAAATGTGAGACCACAAAACCTCAACACCCTGGGAGGGCACGTCCCAGCCCCTCCCAGTGGCATCTCTTCGGCATGTGCCATCCTCTCTCCTGGAACCTATCCATCTAAGTATCACCTAAAATCTTCACGGATCTCGGTCCCGCCCGCAAGCTGTTTCCAGGAAAGTAAGGGAAACGCGACGTGCCCAAAAACAAGTGATTCAGGAGAAACACGGATGGTTGTCTAACAAGCGATTCTCAAGCACCTGAGTGGGCCAAGCACGCCACTCAAGGGCCAGAGCTACAGCAGACAGCCTGTGTGTCGCAGGGAGGATGGTGGCTGAACGCAGCTGGGGGCTGGTGCCATCTGACGGTGTCTGTGTGTTCCGATGATCTGGCCCCTAAGTCAGAGGCTGATGACCACTACACGGGACAACACGTCCAAGGGCTGTGAGTTCTACCGTTAGGAGCGCAAGGACCACATCTTGGAGGAAAAGGCAGGTTTACGGGAGATTAAAATCACAGCTTTGAATCTGTATTCTCAACCTGTTTCCCAGGCTGGGCCCTGTTTTAAGTGCTTCCCAAAACCAGTCTCGTCCTGCAAACAACCTGGAAGGCGGCACAGGTCACTAATGAGCTGGGGAGGTGAAGGGCCTGGATCTGAACCCAGGCACGCAACTCCAGAACCCCTGGGCTTAGCCACTAGCCATGTGCCTCCCAAGTGCACAGAAACACTCTAAGAGTTTGGGATAACTTATAAGTTAGTTTCAAAAGATGATATCTGTGTGTCCCTTTTTAACCTCCACCCTCTAAAAAAGTAATGCCACCATGTCCTTGTCCAGGACCACAGAGCACCGGGAGAGAGGCAGAGCCAGGATCTGGGTCATCAGCCAGACCTCCAGTCTCTGGGTAAAAAGGCCCTGGGAAAGACACCATGGGCAAGACACCTGGCACAGGGGGTACTTCACTAACACCTTTTTAGAGAACGCAATCAACAGAAAGCTCATCTTTCTCCAATAAAGTCAAAGACCAATTGTGCCAGAGGAGATCAGTTTCCATAGACGCACATGCAAAGCAGAAAAGAAACTTTTGGGGGACAATTTTCTACCAGTTGACAGAGAGGCATAGTGACAAGAATAACCTCAGCTCCTTCCCCACTAATGGAGAAGGACTCCACAGAAATAATCCCTCGTGAATGACCTTCCAACAGTGGGTCTCCACCCCAGCCTCTCCCGATCCTAGAAGGCAAAGAAGTGAGCACATCACAGCTCCTCCCTGGGACTCCGGTACTGTACAGCAGCAGCTGTAAATCTCCACTTGACAGATAAGGACCCTGGGTTACACAACCCAAAATCACGCAGCAACCATAACTTGCCCCAGGGAACAGAGGAAAAGAGCGGGAAAGAGGGGCTTCAGGCTGGAGATAAGCCCATCCCGCCCACTCCGTACTTCCCTCTGGTGGAAATGAAACCTGATAAAGAGGGGCAAGCTCCGTGCCAGGGGCACATCTCCCTGAGCTCCCAGCCCTTCCCTTGGGACCTGGCAGACCCTTGGATCAGAGGGTTATCAACCAGCCCGCCCTGTGGCCAGGGCTGAGGGGCACCAGAAGTCAGTCCCAAAACCTAAACTGAAACCCGGGGGCCATGCTCGCATGAAAGACAGCACGTGTTAGGGCAGCCGAATTCGCAAAAGCCAAAAGGCAGAGTCCACCCAACCCGTTCCAACAGAGGCTGAAGTGCGGTCTATCCACGGGACCAAATATCCTTTGACCACAAAGAGGAGCAAAGTACTGATCCACGCTACCACGGGGACGGACCCTGAAAACATTACGGAGGCCCCACTTGTTGTATGATTTCATGGACATGTAACATCCGGAACAGGGGACTTCACAGAAACAGAAAGCAGGCTAGTGGTCGCCCGGGCTGGGAGGAGGGGAGGCTGCTAATGAGTTTGGGGTTTGGGGTTTCCTGTGGGTAACGTGTTTGGAACTAGATGAAGCGATGGTCACACAATATTGCAGACGTACTAAAGGCCGCTGAAGTCGAGTGTTTCCTCTTATGCTATATAGGTTTCACCTTGATTTTTTAAAAAGATAAGAGTGGGTGACTGTATGATCAAGCCCAGCCACTGCTGGGGGAGAGGGGGGGAGGCTGTTGTTGGAAAATAAGTCTTGGGAGGTGGATTTGGGGAGGCAGAGAAGAGGGAGAGCAGTCACCCTGAACTGAACCAAAAACACTGGCGCTCCAGAGCCCGGGGCAGCCGGAGGAGGATGAAGAAGTGACCCAAGTTCACTAAGTGCCAGCCCCGTGCCGGGTGCTGGGCTGGGCTCTCTGCAACCCCCGTCTCAGCAGAGTCGTGCGTCAGGCTACGAGACGGATCTAGACTCCGACACCGTGAAGGGCACCACGCAGCAGCCCCGGCTGCGGGCAGGCAGGCTGCAAGCTCAACCTCTGCTCCCCGACCCATCTGGCTCCTGGGGGTGAGGAAGAGCGTCAACGACCTCCTTCAGCTGCCACTATTACCGTCACCTTCACGGCAACCCTGCAAGGTGCTTCTGTCCCCTCTGCACAGATAACATGGCCAAGGCTCAGGTCCCATTGACAAAAACCATGGATAATCTGAAATTCCTACTCTCCTGAGTATTCTTTTCCCCCAAGTATGAAAAGGAACCATCCAGATACAGAGGAGGCCATCAAGGCCCAGAGACAGTAAGTGGCTTGTCCAAGGACACACAGCCAGGGAGGAGCACCAAAACCCAAGCCCAGGTCTCGGCCTCACCCCCTCTCACCAAGGGTCCTCAGCCCCTCCTGTCCTGGGTACTCAAAACTCACCCTTTTATTGCTACTGCCCTGAAAGGTCACTCATACAGGGGACCCAATGCTTCTGCCGACCCCCACAGCTGGACAACAGGAGCAAACCCTGAGGAGCGAGAAGACACCCAGCGATGACAGGAGGAAGGGAGCGGTGTCCTCTGTCCTGTCCAAGGCTTCGGCTACCCAGACCCCCCAGGTGTGGTGGACAGCCCATCAGACAGCGCCTGGAGGTAGGGAGAGTCTCCTCCTCCCTGCGGAGCCCTGGCTCCCTCCCTCAGAGATGGGTTCCTGTTTCACAACTTCTCCTTCCCTTCTGCTGAAGAGGCAAACCCTCTCTGGGAACCACCAGCCTCCAGGAACTGTGGCTCCAGTCACAAGGATCTCCCCCTGGCCGGAAAGAAAAAGCAACTGTCAACGCTGCTCCTCACGCCATCCCTGTTTAGCCAAAGCTGCAGAAGGGACATCAGTGATCCACTCTGAACCCTGGATTCTTCTCACTCCACAACTACGCAACAGGGCCTCACCCGTCATGTCCGCCTTAGACCTCTAAATCCCCACCCCCCTCACTCTCCATGAAACACTACACACCAAAACACCCCAACCTCTTCTCCTCCTCCCCGCTGTCTGACATGACCGTTCCTTGATACCTGTCTCCCTGTCTACAAACTGTGGACTTCTTGCTCCCTGGGCTCTGTTTCTCGGCCCGACGCTCCTTGACTTCCCTCTTCTCCGCAGTAGCCAAGTCCTCATGACCCCGAATGGAACAGCCTCACCCTAGGGCTGAGACAGACTCAGGTGGGATCCATTTTTTGATGCTCCCCATAAACACATACACATACAATCAGCAGGTGCCAGACAGGATTCTATCTGCTACCATATATTTTTGTTTCAGTCTGTCAGATTCTCACTGTAATTCTCTCTAGATCCTCTTGTTTGGAACATAAAAGACCAAAGCCTAAAGTCTCCTGTGAACACGGAGGGGGGACAGCCGGGCCCTAATGTACCCGGATGCCCCTCCTCTAGCAGCCTCTCTCTTCAATCTACAGAGGAAACGTAACAGAACTACTAGACTACTTCCCAGAAACATGTTCAACCAGGGTAAGGAGAGTTTGAAAGGTCTGTTTGCAATGTGTGGGTAGGGGAAGGGACATTAGCAAGGGATGTGCAAGAATCCTGGGGTAGCCACATTAGGAAAGAGCAAACAGGCATCTCCCAGGAGGCCCTCTGGCTGGGGCCTCCTGCTGGGCTGGCCCAATGGGAAGCCAGAGGTCAAGGTCACCCCTGGTGTAGAACATAAAGGTCAGCCTCATCTTGGTGGGCAGAGCAGGTTGGGGACAGGTGAGCAGGGGTCCACAGGAGCACACAGAACAGCAGCACAGACCTCAGAACGTCACTGCCCAGAGCCTGGGAATCTGGGGTCAGGTCCAGCTGCTCCTGGTCCTTGCGCTCTCACAGAGCCACCCCTTCACCAACTACAAAATGACAGAAGGTGCCTGACCTGTAGGTGCCACGTCTAGGTTCTCCCAAGACGTGAACAAAACAGACTTCCTTTACTCCCAGCTGACGACCTTCCCCTGCTCCAAGAACCTCTGCCGCCGCTGCCCCTGGGCTTTGCTGGGCGACCTCTGACCTGTGCAGTCCCTCCATTCATGCCTCCTCCTCCACCCTGCACCGTCCCAGGCTCTGAAGAGATGGGGGGGGGGAAACTCAGGTGGTCCCAAGAGCTCACCAGCAAGAGACCCACCAAAAGAAAGTGACAGTGTGGCAGGGAGGGGGGGGGGGGGGGGGGGGGCACACCTGTCGTCCCCGCAGCTTGGAAAGCTGAGGCAAGAGGACAGCCACTTAGAGGCCAGCTTCAGCAACTTAGCGAGACCCTAATTTAATAAAAAATTTAATAAAAAATTAAAAGGGCTGGGGAAGTAGCCAGTGGTGGGGCCTCCAAGTTCAACTCTGAGTACCCCCCCAAAAAAAAAGTCAAAGCCTGATACCACAATGTGGACAAGCAGCCAGGAGCCACCGGAAGAGCAGGCAGAGGGTGCAAGGACCTCGTGAGCTTGGGGACAGGAAAGGAGGGGCTCAAGTGGTTTGAGGGCAGCCTGCAGAGGAAGAGTGGCAGAAAAGCCTCAGGAGTGGCCCTGTCCCGTGAAGTTTAATCCTGGTCGGTGCTACCTGTTAGGCTGACTGAGCTCCTCGCTGCTGCCCAGTCACTGTGCTTCGGCTTAAAACGGTCCCGGGAGGCAGCAGCTGTGTTTATCCCCATTTTACAGACGTGGACACGGGCCCTCAGAAAAGTCAAGAGCCCCGCTGGGTGTGGCAGCCCCCGCATGTCATCCCAGGGGCTCAGGAGGCTGAGGCAGGAGGATCACAAGTTCAAAGCCAGCCTCAGCAACAGTGAGGCCCTAAGCAACTCAGTGAGATCCTGTCTCTAAATAAAATACAAAACAGGCTCAGGATGTGGCTCAGCGGTTGAGTGCCCCTGAGTTCCATCCCTGCTACAAAAAAAAAAGAAAAAGAAAAGTTAAGAGCCTTTAGGGCATCTTACAGATTCTGGCCCAGGTCTGCCGAGCCCTGAAGCCCTTGACCTGAACCACGCCCAGGCAGCACTAAGCAGCTTCATCCCCAGGAAAGTCTCCACTGAGACCAGGAAATCAAAAGCAAACCCCAGGCCTGCAGGTGGCCGGGCCCAAACGGGCCTCACAGCCAGGTGCCATCAGGCCAGCCGAACTGAATGACTGATGCGGCTTTTGCACTATTCTTAAAAAAAAAAAAAAAAGGAGCCAACTGGCAGAGCCTGGATTTTAACAACTGACAAAGCTTCAGGTTTTCTATTATACACGTTGGTTTTTCAAGGGTGGGTAATAAGTGACTGAATAGCACAATGGGTAACAATAGACTCTTTATCCTTCTAAAACCAAGCCCACACACCATATGACAATAGTTATTTTTACTCACTGACGTAATTAACCAAAATGTGAACCGCTTCAAGCAATGTTTAAAATCAAATAGCATTTTATGGGATCTGGAGCATGCAAAGACTTCATTTCTCAAAGACCATCATTCTCCCTAGTCCTCCTGTATCTCCCATGTGAAAATCACCCAACGGCTCCCTAAAATAAAAAAAAAAAGCCCCCAAAGCAAATCATTGATCGTGAAAATGGCAGATTGGGTGGGCCCTCCCACCAAACCCAGAAGCCAGGCAGCAAACACCTCTGCAAACACTTCCCACAGGCAGGTGTGGCATTGTGGGGTGGCCTGAGCCCCCAGCATCTGCTTCCACCCTAGAGTCCAAGAGGCAGGGGATGGGCAAGCCAGCAGGCAGCGTGGCCAAGGGTACCCAGGGCCCAAGACGGCAGGCAAAGCAAGACGATCACGGCTGGCCTACTCTGCCTCGTTGGCAAGTCAGTGACTGAACTCGTTGCTGTCAGCCAGAAGGAAGGGTGGAGAGGAGAGAGCACAACCCACAGTTCTGTGCTCAAAAAAAACCACAGGAGGCTTCGGGGAAAGAGAGGAGGACCAAGCACCTTGCACAGCCCAGGTGGCCCCTCTCCCCGAGACCCGGGCCAACTGGAGGCATGAGGGACTCTACCAAAGGCACTGAGAAGAGAGTCACCAGAGGCACTATTTGGGTGAGACTATGTGAACTCTTTGAGATTTAGAGCTGAGGGTGGCGAAATCCCAGGCCAAAAGTGTCCATGGGTATTTTTAGCAGCAGAACTATTGTTTAAGGATCTTATGAAGAACTACATATAGACTTAGAATTCCACTCTTCATATTTGATCTAGGTATGTATGAATGTAAACCTGTGTGTGTGTGTGTGTGTGTGTGTGTGTGTGTGTGTGCGCGCGCGCGTATTCTTCAACGAAAGCAGCCTCTTCCGAGTTCAAGTGGCCCTGCTCTTCTTTTGAATGTAACCAAGTGAAAAGGCTGAGAGCCTCGGCTGTAGGCAGACTTGGCGGGAGAGATGCGGGGACAAGTATTTTCATTATCATTTTAAACACACTCAAAGGGTGAGGGGCGGATATGAAATGAAACTCAGATGGACATTTACGGATTTCCCGAGCGACCTCGAGAACACAAGTGGCCTACCTTCCCTGGGACAACTGAAGGCCAGAGTAAGCCCCCGCGGGGGTCACCACCAGAACAGCGCTGGGCCTGAGGCCCAGGTCCCAGAGCGTTCCTCAGGGCTCAGTCCTCGTTCACCGAGGCCAGAGGGTCTGAACCCCTGCTCCACCTCAGATACCAGGTCTGGGGGTGCTAAATCAGGGCTCCGTCGTCTGGATCTAGCCCACTGGCACCTTTTGTTTGACCCGTGATGTTTCTTAAAATCTTAAGGATTGAAAAAAAAACAGGGAGACTTAGCAGTTTTTAAATCCTGATTTTCAGCTTCTCAAATAAAATTTTTTAAAAAAAAAAAAAAAGGATTTGGTTTTCTTATCTGGCCACGTTCAAGTTATTAATTGGATCTGACTGTCAATCCCCTTTGGGGAGGGGGGGGGTGCTTGGTGTTCACAGTCTCTCCCAGATACTGTCACCCCAACGCTGAGGACAAATGGCAGTTGCCAAGCAACGTGGCACCCACACTGTGGGCTTCCTCCACCACACGAAGGCCTGAGAGGCATGTGACTTTTCACAATTTGGCCCAATCCATTTATTTATGTTCCCAACTGGCCCTGAAGACATCTGAGTTTGGTGACCTTTGATTGAAGTGTACCTTGTAGCCACAACACCCGGGTCACAATCATTAACAGACTGTTTACTTTCTCGGGTTCTCTCTCAGGAAGAGACTTCTAGCCAATGTCAGCCGTGAAGAATGAGCACAAAGGGAATACTAAATGTACACTCGACTGCCCCCAAATTCCCACTGCCTCCCCACGCCTCGCCACCAACGCTAGGTCCAAACCCCCCAAAATCAAAATGCAAGGCAGAGAGTTCGGATCTTCTAGTCGAAGACTTCGATTCCATCCCCTGAATCTAATAAAACTGCTCCACAAATCCCACCAGTCCCCTTCCCTCCTGCCCTGTCCAGCCCCCTTAGAGTAAAAACAGCCAATAGCCACCATGGTACGCCAAGCCACCGCCCACTGACCCTGCTATTCTGAACTGAGGGGACTGAGACAAGGGGACTGAGACAAGGGTAGAAAAATCAGCAGGACTTGGAGTTAGGTCTGAATCCTGGCACCAAAACCTTAATCAGCAAAGAGTCCGAAGGCCAATGACCTGACTTCATGAGTTACTCCACCTGTGCCATGTTTAAGAACAGTGTGTCCCCACCAAGCTCCCACTGAGACCTACGCCCTCCATGCAGCAGTGCTGGAAGGCGGGGCATGATGCAAGGTGTTTGGGTCAAGGGGGCAGCACCCTCGTGAGTGGATCAATGCCTTTCTCAAGTGAAGAGGGGACTGGCCCGGTTACCATGAAAGCAGGTTGCCCTTCTGCTTCCCCCATGAATTAAGACAGCATGAGGCCCTCAGCAGATGTGGTCCTAGACTTACAAAACCATGAGCCAAAAGCAACCTCTTTCCTTTATAAAT